ATCATTAAAAATCACTTACCTGTTTTAAAATGCTCTTAACAGGCACAATTTAACATTAGAAATGTATTTCAATATTTGGGGTTGTCAATCTTAGATTTTGCATCTTTGCTGGGATTTTCCACAACTAAAGGTTGTATCATATTGGGTCCTAAGTGGGCAAAATTTCCTTTTAAAAAATAGTTAAAGTTAAGCTTTTCCATTAATAGTTTTACAAAATGTGAAGTTAAATTTGAGTAGGTTTCCCTAAGTGGGTAGGTGGAAATGACAGTAAAATCTGAAATCAAATTTGAGTAGGTTTCACCAGTAGTGTATGTACAGTGAAATCAGAAATTAAATTTGAGTAGGTTGCCCAAAGTGGACAGGTGGAAATGACAATATCCACTATTAGTATGTGTATAGTGAAATCTGAAATTAAATTTGTGTAGTTCGCCTTAAGTGTATTCTTTTTTAATTTTAGATCATTTTTCTCAAATTTTTTTTTTTTTTGCCCATTTAATTCTCTATCTTTAAGCGCCTAATTTATCTCCATTCTTTATTTTTTGGAAACATTTTTCTGTAGAAATGGCCCATAATTTTCCATTCTATAAACCCCATCCAGACCCTTACAAGAGGACAGGAGTGTGTGTACAGTAAAATCTGAAGTTAAATTTGAGTAGGTTGCCCTAACAAATGACAAAATCCACCAGTAGTGTATGTACAGTGAAAACTGAAAGATTTGGTTGTTTTACACAGGTGTTCAGTGTTCAAAGGTCAAATTTACTAAGAACATTTATTTAAAAATGAGATGATGTGGAAAGATTGCCAATGAGACAACTATCCATTCCTAGTTTGTCCTGATACAAGAGCATGGATACTCTGGTTTACACAAGAGTTAAGTTTGGAAACTTTCCATGCAATAATAGTTAAACATTGTTTGAATACTAGCTCATATGAGCTCTCAAGAGGATTCCAAGCTACATGTAGCTTGCACACAGTATTAATGATTAAGATTTTAAGCAAGTGATGTACTACACATTAAAGCCAGAAGGGATTCCATGCTTCATTTTAACTCAAAAATAAGGTATAGCTATATTCCTTGCTTCTTCAGGGGTGCATACACACTTAGATGAGACAGGAGCATAATCCTTTTCAATTTTTGCAAAGAAATGTTACAAACAGGGAAGAAAAACAAACTTTGTAATCTTCACATTTTTTCAACAAAAAATATAAAATGACATAAAAGCAAATTTTGAACGGATAAGGAAATTGCTGCTTGATAATAATATCACATGAATAATTCATTTTAGGCCCATGATGATACAGTCTTTTAAGTATTTCCATATTTAACATTGTTTAACAATTTTGTAATAATTTGCTAGATATGAATCTCTATATGTGTGTTTATTTGTTAATAACATAAAAACATTGATGATCTTACATCATATCAAGTTCTTAGATGCAAACTTGCTGAACTGTATTTCTGCATTTTCTACACAAACATACACAAATAACATGACTGAGTGCATTAAATACATGTGCAAAAGATCTTCCCTTGATTATGAGAAAATGCAACATTTTCCTAAAAGCTCAAATTTTTCATTTAAAGACTAATTACTACTTAGTGAAATTAAGTACTCAAATTAAATCTTTACCTAAAGTTTGTTGTTTGTTTAACTATTCCTCCAAAATAAATCGAATCACAAAAACTTCTCTTACTTGGCACAAAAATTGTACGAATTCCAAATCTAAGTACAAGATTAAAATCTCACTAACTTTCAGAGGCAGCTAATTTCGTTTATAATTCAAAGAATAACAATTTTTCCAAATTTTAAAGATTACTAATAAAATTTCCCTGTGTGTATATTGTTCAAATGAATATAAGTATCCTTGTTGTCTTAAAAAGGATATGACAGCATTATGTGGGCTTGTAGCAGGAAAGAGACACTAAATAACAGAGAGTGTGTATTTATAAAACGAAAACATGTCAGTTTTAATTCTCAGTCAGATTCTTTCATTCAAATATTTGAGTGTTCTAAGATCTGCATACAGTGTATCTTTTCTTTAAAAACTAACGTTTATATAAGTAGGCATAATACTGTCAACTGCCAATGTGAAGTTTTTCAAAAATAGACTTGATTACCACTTAATTGACTTATAAATAAATCCTTTCTACAGTAAAATTGACTTGATCTTTTGAACAGTGTTTGTCAGTATTATATTGACATTACTTCCAAGTTAACCTTACAGTGGTACAATGTCATGTAAGGACATAACCTCTTAATCACTCACTAATTCTGACCAATGTTCTATCTTTGAAAAATAATTAAAACTATCAAACAGTTACCAGGTTTATTTCATTAACATCAAAATGATCACAGTTTCAAGGCCGGAACCTGTTAAGAGGGTTTTATTTGCATGTATTCTTGTACTTAATTCTGATCTTCCTTGAACATCAAATTACTCATTTTGTTTTAGGTTTGTCCAGTACAAAACATGTATTTTCTTACTTCAAGATTTTTGTTTCTTTGTTGAAGTTTGTTTTGTAGGACTTATCATGTTCACCAATATCTATTTTCAAAAAGTTGTTGAATCTTAAAATTGTCAACATTTATTTCTTGAAAATAACTACTTTAACACCACTTTCAGCAACCATGGCAATATAATGGCAGCCAGACTTTATTGGGGAGGAAGTCAAAGTATGTAGAAAGAACCACTAACTTTGGCAATATAATGGCAGCCAGACTTTATTGGGGAGGAAGTCAAAGTATCTAGAAAGAACCGCTAAGTTTGGCAGGAAAACCGACAATACCTTTAATAAAATGCTTCGCTGAGCGCAGCCTGACACGACCTCAGAGGTCGAACCCTGAACAGTTGGGGCAAATTTGGACACAATATTTAAGCGTGATACTGTCTGAATTTGGATTATGATCAAATTTTTATATAATATAGGTTTCTGACACAAAAAAATTGTGTTCAAAGATCTTATAAATCCATTGCGCAATACTGTGCAATTGAAGATTTCTTCTTGAAACTTTTCAAAAAAATTCGAAATTTTAAAAATTTTGAAAAAAAAAATATGAATCCCATAAAAAATTGGGAAAAAAATCCCCCCCCAACTTTTTGAAACCCCCCTTAGACAATAACCCCAAAACTCAATCCCAGCCTTTCTCTAGTAGTATGGAACCTTGTAGTACAATTTTAGAGAGATCCATACACTTACACACAAGTTATTGTCTGGAAACTAGAAAAATGTTTGTTTTTGGCCCTTTTTGGCCCCTTATTCCTACATGTTTGGGGCAATTAACCCCAAACTCAATCCCAGCCTTCCCTTTGTTATATGGAACCTTGTGGTACAATGTCAGAGAGATCCATACACTTACACACGTTATTGTCTGGAAACTAGAAAAATGCTTGTTTTTGGCCCTTAATTCCTAAAGTGTTTGCCCCCATAACCCCTGAAATGAATCCCAACCTTCTACTTGTGGTATTAAACATTGTGGTACAATTTCAGAGCAATCGAAATACTTGTACACAAGTTATTATCCTGAAACTAGAAAAATGCTTGTTTTGGGCCCCTTTTTGGGCCCCTAATTCCTAAACGGTTGGGACCATCATCTCCAAAATCAATCCCAACCTTCCTTTTGTGGTATTGAACCTTCTTAAAAAATTTCATAGAGATCCATTCACTTAAACTAAAGTTATTGTCCACAAACCAATGTGTCTTCGAAAGACGACGCAATCCCAAAAAAATTTTTGCGGTCGTATAAAAAGTTGCTGAATCTTAAAATTGTCAACGTCTTATTTCTTAAAAATAAGCAGTGTAACCTTTATTGTTTAAATTGAATTTTGAAAGTAGAATTATATTTAACTCTTTAAAAGGAAAATGTAAGTAAAATCCACTTAAAATTTTTTTGGTTTATCAACATTAAACTCTAAATTCAGCTAACAAAAATAACCAAAGAGTCATTCAAATATAATAACGTTTTCCTACTTATTGTCAAACCTTCATTAGCAATACACTAACAATTTAATCAAGGATTGACCTAATAATCATATCTGCTCCATACAAATCTATTTTCTAATCCTTAAATGTGTCACCCAGTCAACCACTCTTAAATATTTTACATCGTTTTGCCAATCCTGAGGACTCTTGTCAAACTAAGAGTGCACACACTGAAATGTCCCTTCAGCTTAACTGACCATAACAACTGACTGTTCTTGAATTCCTCGCAGGGGTATTGACAATAGTACAACTCTTACAACATGATGATGCACATGTATCTAGAAAACAATCAAGTTATCCTAATGAACCATGAAATTTAGGTTGTTAACCTTTAACACATTACAGACCATATAAATGATATAGACCCAGTATTATAGTCAACCTTTTAATCTTAGTAAGTTAATCCATTCCAGAATCAAAAAAGACATACTTAAATACATATATACAATTTTGCATGCAGCCATGACCACTGAGCTATGAAAAAGAGGTTGAGGGCAATGGCCAAATATTTTAGCAAGATAGTTTTCAAAGCATTAAACATCTATATATAAGAACTTAGATACATGGAATATATCGAACTTAGATACCCTCTGAAATATGAAGCTTTATACAGATAGTTAATGCCACCACTGCTAGATAACTCTATGACATAAATCACAAAGTATGTTGCAGGCTAGACAAAATAAGAGCCAGGGTGACAATAGTGGTAATGACTGTGAATGGAGAATTAGATCAAATGTCACTGAACTACCAAGCACATATCTAACATAAAAATAATGTACAGCAAAATTCAGTTATAAGTGCATGCAATTATAAATGCCCCTGTTGAACACTGAAGAAAATGCAAAATTAATAAATGCAATTTCAGGAATTTTTAAAGACAAATACTGGCATTAATGCCTCAGAATTTAAATGTCAACTGAAATCAATTTGATGCTCAAATCACCACAGTCTTTTGCATAATAAAAACGTGGAAATGATTATAAGAATTTACAGTAATTGTGACATAAGTACTTACAACAATCATCTCTGAAGGTTCTAGTAACAAACATTCACTGTTTCTTCTTGTACATCCTGGTGTTCTTTTACCAAAACTGAAAATGTAAAAATTTTATTTTCATTTGATGATCTTTAAAACCAATTGAGAACTTGAATGATTAATTTCCCTGATCTTAATATTGTGTACCAAAAAACACGAAAATCCATACCAGAAAACTCAAAGTTATTTGAAGAGGAATAAGACATTTTAAAACTTTTTGATTTCAGCAATATAACTGGATCTGGAGTGATGCACACATTAAAGTTCCATAACACTTAGATTTTGATATGAGTAAACTTTCATTTAAATTTGAAAAGAATCCTAAAAGAAGTGTTCATGTCATTTTGTTATTTTTGAATCTTCAAATTGATATGCTTGTGATAAGGTGTACTATGAATAACTCTGTTGTTCATTAGAACATGCTTTCTAAAACATTCCCTGAAAAGCTTTGTATGTATCATTCTATTGGAGGATAGACACTTTATCAAATAACACAATAGTTATGTATTATAAAACCATATTTTTAATGTGCTTTCAGAGCCAGAGAATACAATAAATGCAGACGTTTCATAATTCAACGTTTAGAAAAAACCATTACAGATTAATTTAACTTTGTGCTTTGAAGTTTTTATAATGTTTTGCTTAGTGTTTTCACAACCTTCACAAGAGGAAAATGACTATTACAATACTTAGAACTCAAATTGAAATTTCCGGCAAATTATTATGTAACATGAGTTAAGTGTTAATTACTTGATGATAATTTTTATCAATATCATTAGCATTTACCATGTTCAATGAGGAATATATAAAGGGGGATTCTTAATCATCTATATATAACTGAATGCATGTCAAGTCAAGTTTTTATATTGTCAGCGGTTTACTGTTTTACACCGAAATTTTCCACTTCTTCATTTTACACTATATATAGAACAGGGATTGTGTCCATCCATGTTCTACCAAAGCTTTGTGATAATTAAACATGCCATTTTGTCTTAGGTATATACATTGTAGAATATTGGTCATATGACTCCTAATGTTCTATGTATTTATACATCCCAGGCTATACAATTTTTAAGTTTGAATGTTCCTGATGAAGGTATATAGAAAAGCGTTTCAGAGGGACGGGACGCATAAAATTTATAAAGAGTTATTCTCATTAAATGTGATCAACTTTCCTGTCCAAAATTCCGTTAGAACTACCTTTTTGTGTTTTTGGATATTAACTTAATATTTATCAGCATAAATGATTTACTGCTAAATAGAAACAGTTTTAAGTAAATCTGAAATACTTAGTTTTATAATACAGACTGTATGTATTAGGGTGTATTTAATTTACACCAAGACCTTATTGTCAATGCAGAATAATTGTTTTCAATAATTTGGGAGGGTTTTTTTCAGCGATTTGATCATATGTTATTGAAAAACCTGATAAATGCAGGGTATCCAATTCCATTTAACATGTAAGTAAATATGTTGGTGCAAATCAAATTACATCACAAAATTTGGAGAAAATCTCAGATGACTCATTAAATTTTCTCAGTTTCTTTGATTATGAGTATTCCTAGAAATATAAAGTAATTTAGCTCCCACAAAGCCTTCAGTGAAACATCAATTTGGTACTAACTTCCTTCCATGTCTCTAAATAGAAAGACAATAAAAGTCAATTATATAATATATAAAATACTGATGTCACATCTTACATATTCAGAACTTATTTCAAAATACCAACTCAATTACCGCAGATCGTGAGAACATGCCAAATTAAATATTAAAACAACCAATGCTTATAAACAAAATATGACGTGAATACCTTAAGTCTCTTGAGTCTAAATCTGTGATTTTCTCTGACAAATTTCTAATTCGAAGAGTCTGAGACAACCATAGATTCCTATCATTACACATATCATTTTTTACATTATCACTATATACAGTCTCCCTACAATCACTCAAATCATTATCCCTGCACAAATTAGTTCTGTTGTTGTTGTCATTAGCCAAATCAGTTAAAGTGCTTCCAGTTAGATAGACCAACATGCTTTAGAAACTCAATAAATCAGACGACAGAATGACTTTTCCTAATTTTACAGTAAAATGGATTTTCTTCACACTTCTCTATAAATTCCATCAATTCCTTAATTCTCATCATTTATAAAAACGTTTTCAAAGACATTCACTTTCAAAGAATATATTTTTCGCTTAATCATTGTGATTTTGTTCTTGGAAAGCAATAGAGACATGTCTCCGCTTTTCACATACATGTAACATATATATATATATATATTACCATCAAAAATTAATCACATGACTGTTGATAAATTCAAAATTGAAAAACAAGTACTATCCAATAAAATGCAGTTGATTAGCCTCCTCATTAAGATATATACTGTAGAAAAATTAGCCGCGATGACACAACTTAATTATCCAACAAAATACACAAGGTACCAATGTGTGATGAAAAAAAAATATATATTTGCTGATAAAAATTATCCACTGATTACAATTCTGATAATGATTACATGTTATATTGTACACTCTGATAATTAACTTATAAATTCTGTCCCACACTGTGTCAACCCCAATATCATAATGTTTAACTTAGCCCAGGAGAGTTCAAGTCAAATTTTCAATGATTTTAAATTATTCAAATTTGTCCATTTTACTCCATTTAAAGTCCTTTATAACATGACTATACACAAGAAATTAACATTTACAGCATATAAAGGGTATAAACTTTATCAATCAATAATAGTCCCCAGGTACACAAAGAGGAATATGTAAATGTAAGGCTAGTTATTGCCCAATTAAAATCATAACTCCTAACTTGCAATATCTCACATAACCACACACAAACATTGCTCAAGCAAAACTTTTTATACACATCTGACTATTTATCATGTCATTCTACCAACAACATGTATGTTGATAGTTCAGTATGTGTTTTTTCCTTGGTCACCAATGTACAGTTGATGACCTGACCATGTAAAAAAGAAAAATTACAATTAACAATTTAATTTTCATGTTATGATGACTATACATGTTCTGATTAACGTTTATTTTTATTATTAATAAGTATTTCAATTTCAATTTCCATGTATAAAATGGCCATCATGATCACAAAATTAGACTGTGAAATAAACTCAATTCAGGAATCTTTGAACCTTACTACAAATTAGAAAGGAAAGGCTAATTACAATTTTATATGTTGTGTCTGTGATGGTTTATTATACAAAAAACTCACTTGGGAAAAATATTCATCTAATTGAATTACCAAACAAAAGGTGCGACATCTTATTCAATTAAGGGTAAAGTTACTGCAATTCTGAATGTTTTTTCAATTAGGGTATTCTTTTTTTAATTGCATGATGTTCATTTATAAGATGTACTGCTTTCTGGAAACACTGCCAAAAAGTTAAAGCAAATTACTATATGGTATTAGTTTTGCTCATTGTTGAAGGCTGTACAGTGCCCTGTAGTATTTTACATCAATGCACTTGAAATTTTCTTTCTGGTTGATACCTCATTGGCATTCATACCAAATCTCCTTATTTTTACACTGATCTTATATATTGATTGATTGATTGATTGATTGGATGTTTAATGCTACTTTGAGCACTATTGTGCTATTTGAGGTGGTAAATTTTTAATGATGGAGGAAGCCGGAGTGCCTGGAGAGAAGTGATCCCATATATGCCAGTTAAAAGGTTAGTTATAGCTATAGGTGCATGTAAGAGCAAATCACTGTTTCTCAGACTGTTCCATCTTAGCAATTGACATGTTTCAGAACCAAAAAGCTGTTGGTAAAATCAAAAGAGTACCGACTTCTTACAAGAAAATTGGTTGCCATATATATGGTTTCTGTTGTAATTACAGATGTACTTAAAAAACTGTTCACTAGATGTTAATAATACCTTCTCTCTTATTAATATGTCTGTCAATATTTTACACCTGTCTACCTAAAAATTCCTTCACTACTTACATAAATACAACATATTCAAACCATCAAAGAAAAAACTTGAAAGTGTTGAAACAAGTGTCTGTTTTACAAATATTTTTACTACTTTCTGATTGGAATGAACTTTTGACACCTCACAAGGACAAATCAATTTCTCTACCATTTATCATGTTAAATTTGGTCTGCTCTACAAAGAACAATGTTAACTAATGATTGAATGAACCATTAAGGTGAGTTTCTGTTGTTAATACAAGTTCAAGGACCAATTAATCCTCAGTCATAACAAATCAATTTCAAAAATAGTAGATTTGTTTTTGTTTTTGTAGGATTCCTATCATAAAGGTTAGTGTTGAATTTATTAAACCAATCTCTAAATATTGTCATTAAACAAATAAAATGTTTGTGACATATTACAAATAAACATGAATTATATTAATGCAAAGAATGAAGAAGAATAAAAGAAGAATGTGTCTAAGGACACAAAAGCCCCTCTCAAGCTTCAAACAAACTAAAATGGGACAGATGGATGGAAAGACGGAAGGATGGAAAGACGGAATAATGGAATGATGGAAAGATGGAGGGACAGAAAGTGTTATTTTTTAGTTTCAATAATCACATATTTCGAAGTTACTTAATGTCAGTAGATATTTGTTATTATCCAGTGTGTTAACTGTAGTGTTTGTAAAAACCACATATATAATGTGTTTCACTGTCAACCAATATGTCTTGTAAGACTGCTTAAGGCTTTATTGTCATACTCAAGATGAAGAACTTTTCTTGTACCAAGCTTTGTCATTTCTAGTCTTACATGTACAGGGTCAACCCTTGTTCATATCACACATGCAAAATGAAATTATGTATATATAATGTATCCTTTTATTTCATCTTCCACATTTGTTTTATTTTTGTTAGATGTGGTATTTCAGTGGCAAAATATAAGTTGTCATAATGGTGACTTAATTCATCTTGAGGCTTCATCAACCAATTCAAGTACAGTAGGTATAAATAAGGGGCCAACATGTACATGTAAATAATACTTGAAGTCAATATATCTTACATTTTAAATCTCAATAGTACATAAAAAGATGATTATTTGCTTCAAA